CTTCTTATTTTCTTTTCACTCCACTTTCTCTTCCATCTGTAGCTGAACAGAAACATTAACTGTTGGGAAGATATTCTAGGAGAGGGTGAGGAATGTTGGAAAGTGTGCACGTTTCCCAGCCGGTCAGACCTAAGACTAAACTTTCATTCAAAAAATGTCACACCTCTTCGCGATTTTGTTTCTTTATCTTTAAAATTAGAGTAACAATATGTACCTCACATGAAACTTCTTGTTCATAAAAAAAAAAAAAAAAAAAAAAGAAATCAATATGCATGTCAAAAACACATACTCTTGGAATCTGTTCTCTAGAACAGGCTTGGCAAACCATGGCCTGTGGGTCAAATCAGTTCCATTCCCTATTTTTATATGGCCTGGGAGTGAATAATGTTTGCTTTTTCATTTTTGGATGGTTAAAGACAATTTTCAAAATCATAACTTGCTGACATGCAAAATTATATAATGTTCACCTTTTTATGTCTATAAATAAAGTTTTATTGAAACGCAGCCACACCCATCATTTACTATTGTGTATGACTGCTTTAGTGCTATATCAGCACAGTTGAATAATTGCAACAAATTTTTACATCTGGCTCTTCAGAGAAAAAGTTTACTAACCTCTGCTCCACAGAGTCTGATTCAGAAGTTCTCAGGTAGACCAAAGGAGTTTACTTCAACACTCTACTTCAACAGTTTTTCAGGCTATTCTAATGCAGGGGGTCTACGAGCCATACTTGGAAAAATAATGCATTACAAGAATTTTGAAAAACATATCTCTTCTTCTCATCCACCACTCTATCAGCAATCCTGTTGGCTTTATCTTCAAACAATATCTGAAATATAACCTATTCCAGGCTATCTGCTACTATTAATCACTGTCTTTCATCAGCATTCTCACACTGGCTTTCGAATTAGTCTTTCTGCTTCTACACTTGTTCCGTGGTGTCCATTCTCAGCATAACAGCCAGAGTAAATGTGTTAAAACCTAAGACCAATCTTGTTCCCCTTCTCTTTGACATTCTCCAGTGGCCGCTCTACTTCTCTGTCTTTCTCACTGCTGTAGGTACATTGACCTCCTAGCTATTTCTCAAAAACCCTAGGGAGCTCCATCCCCAGGACTTTCACAGGCCGTTATTCTTAGGTGGTGTAATCTCTCCCCAGGCATTCAGGTGGCTTTCAGCTTTGTCTGGTTTAGGTCTTCCTCTGGCAGTTACCTTCTTGGTGATCCCTTCTATAACCACTTTATTTGAAATTATAACTCTCTTATCTGGGACTGCCTGCCTTCTTTATGCTAACGTATTATACACTTTTCTTCTTTATTTTTATTACTGTTCATCTCCCCCACATAAAGTCACCATGAGGACATAGATTTTCTTCTAGAAGAATGTCTGCCTCATAAAAAGTTCTCAGTAAGTATTTCTTGAGTCAAGAGACGAGCCTCTGATTTCTATTTTGTACTTGAGAGATAATGTATGGCGCTATCAAACCTTTTCTGTATGCAAAAACAGTTGCCAAGAGTACAAATAGAAGACTCATCTCTGAATGATGATGTAATAGCCACTTATCACTGTAAACGAGAAGGAAAATAAAGTAGCTATTAACTTGTATTATGCGTGTGTGCAGTCTCAGCCGACAATTTGATTATGAGATGTACTAAGGAAAGTAAAGTAGATGGCAGGTACAGATATGAAAACGTGGATGAAAATGCAGTTGAATCTGTTCCAGAAAACCACAGTCAAGCTGCATTTTAGAGGAGGCAGGTGGCTTACCGCAGGTTTGACTGTTCAACATCATGTTGGACAATTTTAGAAGGTTGGCAATCAAAGTTCCCAAAAGGGAATGTGGATGTGAGTAGTTTTGGTTTAAATGAATGCTTTAGGAAACATGAGCTTTATAAGAGAAAGAAAATCAGTTTTAGATATACTTGAACTTGATTCTTTCAAAATATGAGGAAATAGAAATTTTCTTTCACTTTAATATTCTCATTCAAAGAATTACTATCCATTTTATGCTTATAACTTCATTTTGTGGATTCAACAGTAGGTTATTCTGACAAAGATGTAGATTCTGACTACTGAAAGATACGTCTTTAGCATACATTTTTTGGAAGAAAATGAAACAAAACTCCATTATATGTCTACTCTTCTATAAATAAACTATTTGACTTTATCTCCAAGGAATTTATTCTATATGACTCCAAATCCCTCAGTAATTTGATCATCTGAGTAATCGGTTCAGTGGTTATTCAATCCAATGTGAGAAACATCACCTCCATATTAAACATGTGGCATTTTCAAAAGAAGTAGGTGATGAGTGCCCCAAAAGATAAAGGTTTTAAATCAATTTGGAGTTGAAAGGCTAAATAATTGTCAGAAAAATCAAATCCTGCACATTTTGAGATTTTTTTTGAAAGGTAATATGATAAGGAAGATAATTTCTATTCAACATGAAATCTTCTGCTCTGTCAATGAGAGTTGGCCACTAGTGCATGAGTGTTAGAGGACTTCTACACTAAGTAGAAGGTTGGACAAGATTAGGCAAAGTGAAGTGACTTGTAACGTCTCCTAAAATGAAGATGGTTTAAATCCTATTATTTTATTTTGAGATAATTTGATTATTTTAATTTCCCCGACTCTCACTTTTCTGCTTGACTATGCACTATCTTAAATCAGCTTATTGACAAGGGAGAGTGAGACTAATAACTGTCAAGATGACAGATTGAACTTTCCAACTACAGGCTTATAATAGTTTTATGTAAATATGAGATGGTAATAGCAAGTAATATTTATGTAGCATTTCACATTTAACAAAGCACTTGCAGATCCATTATTGCATTTGATATTTCATCGACTCTATGATTCAGTTATTATTATCAAAACTCATTCTCCAGTAAGAAAATAAAACTCAGAGATTCCACAAGACATGCAGCCAGTAAGTTGTAGACTCGGGAATCAGACCTAGGTCTTCAGATTCAGGTTCTCAGTACTACAGTTTATCTATTTATCATTTTCCCCTCATCTCTCCACCCCCAAGGAAAGCAGCACTGTGAGAAAGAAATATTGTTGTTATCTCTTTTTTACAGATAAAGTCACAAAGATAGTAAGTGATAGAAGTGGGAATTAAATCTGGGCATATTGCCTAAAACGTTTGTGTTCTTTTTATCTATAATGTATATTCTGTAGTATGTAGTTTTGCTGCTGTTTGTGATATAAGAAAGACCTAAAAGTCTGCAGGCAGCAGCTGAGGGCAGTGGGTCATGAGGACAGAGAACATGGAGTCCAGGCTGCCTTCCTTGTCAGACCATTGACCACCACAGCCCACAGGCCCAGTAAGTACTGAAGGAGATGTGAACAGAAGAAAATAAATTCAGGCCATTAGGCAATTGATGTGACATATGGAGAAACTCTACTTCTTTCCGTGTTGACATTACCTCCTTTTCCAGTGAATCTGTGCGTTCCTCGGAAGTCACAACACTATGTGTTGTCTTTGTATGTCACATATATCATAAAAATTGCTAAGAGTTGGTAAGATAGTTTTAGGCTGTTTACATTTATTAACATATTTAATCTTTGTAAGTATTCCATAAAATAGGCATTATTATCTTTTCTTCCCTCCTTTTTTGAATAAAAAATGAGAGAGTGAGGCGCATAAAGGTTAGATAACTTACTTTTGGTTACACAGCTAGTGTGGCAGAAAAAAAGAATAATTCAAAGAAAGAAAGAAGAGATGAAGAAAAGGAAGGGGGGGAGAAAGAATGAAGGACAAGTGAGAGGGAGAAAGAAAGAGAGAGAAGCAAGAAGGCAGGGAGGGAGGGAGAGAGGTAAGTCAGTCATAGGCTAAGGAGTGCTCAGGAGTAGAGCCATGGAGGAATCTCTAGGTCCATGTGGTTAGTACTTAAATGATCACTAGCACAGCAGAGGTAGGGGAGAGCTAGAGAGATTTCAGGTTTTCTGTTCCTCTTGTCCTCTTGACCATTGTAGTGTGCTTGCTATTAGGGCTTTAAAAAAAAAAAATCCATCCCTCATGGATAAAAGGAATAAAGTAGCTTGTCTGAAGACAGACTTCCTGTCTCTAAGACAGCTTGTTTTGCTTGAGTTTGGCATAATGTGTTAATGTCAGGTCTGTGTATATGTTAACTAGGAACTTTAGTATAGTTTATGCGTGAGACCTGTTGCTTCTTCTTCAGTTTAACATTTTTTTGTTTTGTTTTTCTGAGTTGGAGTTTCACTCTGTTGCCTAGGCTGGAGTGCAGTGGCACGCTCACGTTTTCATCCAGCGCCGACCTGCTGGGCTCCAGCGATCCCTCCGCCTCCACCTTCCAAGTAGCCAGAACTACAGGTCCATGCTACCACGTCCGGCTAATTCTTTGACTTAGTGTAGCAGTGAGGACTTGCCAAGTTGCCCGGGTTGATCTCAAACCCACGGGCTCAGGCAGTCCACTCACCTCGGTCTTCTAAAGTGCTGGGATGACAGGCTGAGCCACCGAGCCCAGGCCTGTTTTTCAGGTATAGGTACTGTTTTCCTCCTCTGTAGTCCTTAGAGCTCCAGGGAAGTTTTTGTGCTCTATTCTGTAGGCATAGTACCATAGTCAGAGTATTGAGTCTGGAATGAGACATTTTTAGACCCAATCATCTTCCTCCCCATACCATCTATATGGCTGCTGGGCAGGTCTCAGCTACATGGGGGTCTCGGTTTCCTACCCTACATGGCCCATGTATTAGAGTTGTTATCTGGATAAACTGAAATGTGAAGAAAAGCATTTTGTCGATGGGACAACTCTTTACAAATTAAGGTATTATCTTCTACCTCATAAAAGTATCTTGAAGAATTGACATTTATTTTATTTAATTTAATTTGGCTCTTCCTACCTTGCCTCCAGTCATTCCTCGAAAGTACATATGCACGTGTCTTATAAATAATATTTAAAAGCAGGCAGTTTCCCTCTTTGTTATATTTCCAGGACATATTTCTGATGGATCGCTCTTATTTTCTTTTATTTGTAGAAATGTTTAAAAATGAAAAACATCAAAAATAACAAGATGTGACGAAAGCCACTTGGGGAGTGAACATAAATGTTGCAGTGGAAAAGGAAGCCTTGCCTTCTAGCTGAAAAACAATGATTCTCCAACAGATTCCAGAAGAGGCTTGACTGGCCACTGCAAGGGAGAAAACAACCCTTCTAAGTTTTAATAGAGGAAACTGAGAGAAACCTATGATATGGAATTCACATAGTCGATTCTCTTGTGCCAAAATCTGTATGTATGTTTCATTGGTATTTAGAGCATATTTATTTATTGCACACATTTTTTAAGATTCTTACTTTCACTACCAATAAGCAACTGAAAAATAATTTTATATTTTAGTTTCTGAATAAAACCTGTGTAAAACAGGATGGAAGCTCACCAAATATTTTCACTTTTTCTTCAGAATTTGTTTTGCTACCTTTTAGTGCTATTGATCTCAGTAAGATTAACTTAAAGAAAAATAACTATATTTGAGAATGAGCTAAATTACCCAGGTTTCTTATCTAATTATCTTAGAAAAGTTTGACTTCACATTTTCAGTTTGTTTTATAAATACACTGTAAATAAATGTGTTTAAGTTTCAACAGCCAAAGTAATTGTGAGTCATAGGAATTTTTTCATAATTTTCTCCTCTACCTTACACAATCAGAGTTCATGACTGAAATATCACCACATTTCTGATAACATGTCTTAATATTTTAAGTACTACATACCAGATAACCATTTAAATTAGTGTTTATTAGGATTGCAGGAAAAAATTTCAATTTAATTATAATATTTGATGAAAAGAAAAAGGCAATAGAATTGTAATAATACATTTGATTGATACAATAGAATTGTAATAATACATAGAATTGTAATAATACATTTGATTGATACAATAGAATTGTAATAATACATATGATGTAACAATACATTTGATTGACTAGAAACCAAAGTGACTCTTAATTAGTGCACATTAGAATTACACTCTAATACTATCTATAAAAATTACTATAAGGGTACTCACATTTTGATAACTCATCTTATGTATTCAGTGTACAGTAATAATATTATTTTGCCTCTAACAAAATAAAGAGATGGAGAGATTATCCGGTTAAAGTTATTAATACCTAGAAATGTAATGGTAATCCTTGAACTCACTCATAGGTCATACTCTATATAAAACCTAAATGTTAGCTAATCTATCTCATAATTATTTTACATTGTATGAAGGAGTTATTTGTTGATTTAGTACCAAATCTTTTCTGAAGACAACAAATTATAAGACAACTTTTTAACAAAAAATATTACACTAGTAATCTTTCAGACATTAATTATATTCTGATTTAGCTTGCTTCTTATCCTTTTTTCCTTTTTCACATGGCAATAAATCCTAATTACCAATGTCCTAAAAATTATTTAGCGATTTGATAGTAGCAATATCATTTACTATCTACAATTTATAAAGTTTTATGAAATAGTTTCATTTATTGTGTCTGTTTGTGCCCATAAGAACAAAAACTTTTCAAAGAGGACATCCCCAAGTTTGATTATTGAAGGCCACAGAGAATCTTACTCAACCCAGCAATCTTGGCAAACTGTACCATAGGTATTTTTAGATGCATAGATTTTGTTGTTTTTCAAATAATACTGATGAATATTTTAATTTGGAATATGAGACCAATTATATTTGTGTATTTTAACTAAGTAGATTTTTATTAGAAAATTAAAAGAATGCATATCTTTGGTTGAACATCATCAAGGGATTTCTAATGGGCACCATGTGTAATATTTCTAAAATATAAATTTTTATTTACATACTATGCTTTCAGGTGTCTTGACATTGAAAAGTGTAACAAACTTCATGCTCACTTACAGAAGATTTTGGGAGTTGAAAATAAATCTCCAGATTTTTATTTGTATGCGTTTTCTGCCATGTTTAATTCTAAAATAACCGGCTTCCTATAACAATAAAGTAACTTAAAAATTATTTAACTGGAATTGAAATCAAGTCTTCACTACTAAGTAAGAGCCTGCTTGGGTTAAAGAAGCCAGGAGGAGGGAGAATATTCTCCTTGCCCTCTCTATTCCCTATGGACTTCCAGTACTAAGCTCAATTGTAATGCCCAAATTTCACAGCAGGGTCACACTCCATAGATGTAATGCCCAAATTTCATAACATGGTTACTCTGCAAGCCTACCCATTTTTTGAGATGAGCTGGTTCAACTTTTATAACCTGGACTTTAAAATAAAAACGTTTTAAGAACAGAGTCGGCATTTAATGAGACGTCCAGATGCTTATCAAAGGTTTATGATCCAAGTTACTTCTAAAAGTAAGGAAATGAATATGAAGGATGGAAGCTGAGGGAAGGAAAACTGGAGTTAGGGTCAAATATATCCTGATAGGCTGGAATACTAAGAACAAAATATAGTCCGAATGAAAGCATTCTTTTTTTTTTAACCACAAAAATAAATATTTCCACAATTTTATCACTTACTGCTTCCACTTCTAATGCTATGGTGCAAGCACCAGTCATCTTTTTTGGATTATTGTATTAGCCCTACAACCATTCCGGCCCTTGTGATCTATAAATCTATTCTTATTTCAGTAGTCAGAATGATCTCGTTAAAATATGTGCTATTATTACATGTCACAGTCACTTTTCATCTCACTCCGAGTAAGAGCCAAAATTCCTAAAATTATCTGCAAAGTTCTACACAGTCTGTTCCCATTATCTCTCTGGTCTCTTCTCACTTACTTTGCCTGAGTCACGCTGACCTTCCCTTTGTTCCTCAACCATTCTGGGGCTGGTCTTACCCCAAGGCCTCGGCATTTGCTAACCTCCCCTCATGGAATGAGTCTGTTCATCTCTCCACAGAGGTCACCACCTGTGTTCCTTTGGTTTTTGTCTATATGTTACCTTCCCAGAGCAGCTGGCCCTGACCACTCAATCTCAAACTTTAACCTCAACCCTTCCCGATACTTCCTTTTTCCCCTTAGTTTTCTCCATAATACTTGGTTCTATCTAACATACTTTCTATTTTATGTCTTCTTTATTTTCTGTCTCTTTTACCCCAGAATGTAAACTCCATTAAAGCGGGGATTTCTGATTGGTTTGTGCACTGTACCCAGGCACTTAAAATACTGTCTGACACAAATTTGGTGCTAAATATGGTTCTTGGATGAATTAATTAAAGTAATGAAAATGAGAACCCAGGTCAGAATGCCTAGGTCTGATTCTTGACTCCCTGATTACTAGTCAGTCTTACGTAAGTTTGTTAGCCTCTTTCTGCTTCAAATTCTTTAATATATAAAACAGATTAAAGTAGAACCTACATTGTAGGTTTGCTGTGAAAATGTGATGATAAGTATATGTCAAGTGCTTAGAGCGTTGCCTGGTAAGGAGTAAGTCATTACATTTATCTGTTATTGTTTTATAAAATATATTATATATACTTCCTTAAATTATATATAAAATGATTGGTCAAGACTTTTTAGTATTAGAGTCTTGGATCTTGTCTCCCAACAAGATCTCATATCTTTTCCCCATATCTACTCTCATACTCCATAACAGATACTCATCTAGTCCTCATTATCTTAGATCGGGTTTCCTAGAAGCACAAGCTAAGGTGGAGATTCTTTTTGTTTGTTTGTTTGAGTTGGAGTCTCACTCTGTTGGCCCAGGTTGGAGTGCTGTGGCACACTCATGGCCAACCTAGTGTTTACCTGCTAAGCACCGGCGATCCTTCCCCCCAGCCTTCCAAGTAGCTGGAACTACAGGCATGCACTACTACTCCCAGCTAATTTTTTATTTATTGTAGAGACGAGGTCTCGTCAAGTTGCCCCGGGTGGTCTCGAACCCATGGGTTCAGGCGATCAATTTACCTCGGCTTTCCAGGTAAATTACAGGCTGAGTCACTGAGCCCAGCCAGGTGGAGATTCTTATTCAGTGGTCTATTAAAAGAATGTTCTTCGGAGAAATTTGTCTGTAAATGAAATAAGCAGGACAGAATAGGAGAAGAATCTGGGCAAATATGCAGTTTCATTAGAAGGCCAGCTTAATCTTTCCAGCCTGATCCCAAGGGGTAGCCCCAAGAGTGAATTGCACACTGTGCTGCACCTTCAAAAATCAATTACAGTTCCAAGAGGCTAAACATTTCCAGATGGCGTGGTGTACGACAGGGCAAATGGGTCCCATCAGCCTTTGTGAGAAAGATTTCATACTGTCACCATAGTGTATATTCTGCAGTGGATGCTCTCATGGACAATGATGTGCTATTCAAAAATTTCACACATTTTTCCCACTCTCATAGGTATAGGCACACCCTGTTCTTTAGATATCTTTACCCCTACCTCCATCCAGGTGTTTGACTACCTAAGCCACTTGTCATTGAAGCCACGTGCCAAGGAGTTGTGTGTATCCTTATTGAAGGCCATTTCTTCTTCACACAAGTACACAACCTGAAAGTACCTGCAATTGTCCACTGGGAGAATTTTCCTTCACCATTGTCTTCCAGATCCACCCCTGAGTGGGGCTCTAATGCCACAGCAATTTACTTTGGGTCTCTACTAACAAACCAAGTTGACTCATCTAAGAGCCAATTCAGTTTATTTAACAGATGTCTATAGAGAACCCCAACATAAGCTCTGGAAGTGTGAGCTAAGTAAAAAACGTGGGCATAACAGCAATGAGTGACTTAAAGGACTGTATCTTGTAACATCTCGCTTGTAACATCTGGACCTACTTAACACTACATGTACCACTTCTATCTTACTATGGATTATTGCTGGGCTTATGTGATCACACAGAATTGATGAGTCTTATCTCAACCAGCTAATGAGGACTGCTTCAGTTATATGATAACACAAGTCATATATTCAACCTTTGTAAGGGCCCAATAGCATGAGAACAGATGCTTTCCAAATAGTGTATAGTTCTGTGATAAAATGTCAAATCCATGTTCCAGGGACTTTATGGTTATTTCCTATAAGAGTTTTCCCGAGACTTTATATACAGAACTATCTTTATCTACTAGATACCTATCTATCAGATAGCTATCAAAATACCTCTAGTGCCATGGGGTTTTCAAGGTCATGTGATGGAGATGCAAGTCTGCTGTAACCATAGACTTGACCTACTATAGCACTCCTTGTTGCTCTGGGCCCCTACAAAACTGCCAGTCATTTGTGTCACCTCGTACATGATTCAAAGCAGTATACTCAAGTGTGCTAATTGCTGCCTCTAAAACCCCAGAAACCTTACTGAGTGCTGGGTGGACAGAGGTTCAAGGTGAATGCTAACTCTGAATGTTGGTGTTTCCCTAACATTCATATGTTAGAACTTAATACCCTATGTGATAGAATTAAAAGATGGGGTCTTTAGGAAGTCCACTAACAACTACTATAATATATAAAAATTTTAAAGGGACTCACATTGCTAAATTAAATGTAAATATGATAGAGATTATAACTCCTGAATTCTTTAAATCTTTGAGAGTAGCACTGATTTATGCCAATATATCTAGAATACAACATTGTTTTATATTTGCTATCTTAGTCAAGAGTAAGTGAAGGTAGTTACAGGGAATTCATCTTAGTATTTGTTTATTTGTTTA